CCAAACGGTTTGATTCACACCATTTGATTTGAATTAATTGTATGTTTCTATTTGTGGATTATATTATCATTTATATTAATGTATTTTTAAAATAAATAATTTGATATAACTATTAGTGTTTATATTTACGCACATATTTAGCGTTAAATAAGATGTTTGAAATGTGATGATTAATGAAATCTAATTTACAACTCAAATGTATAAAACGTTTTTAAAAGTTAGACACAAATGAAATTTACAACATTTTTAGCACAAAGAGTGTATCATTTGGTCAAAACACCGCTGAAACGATTTTTTCGGGTCTTTTTCCGTCTGACCACTTGTTCTTCCGACTGGTCTATGAATTGATGCATTTTAGTCAACGAATTCATATCAAACCAATGGTGTTGTGGTTGCAAATCATCCATCAGTTGATTGCAATCAATATATAGAGCCATTAGTAGCCGATAATCGTCTGATGATTCGTCAGTTGTTTTGTGTTTTAATTTTACTATTCATTAAATATTATTGATTTGTTAAATGACTTCTTAGAAAACTAGTTATTTATGAATTAAATTATAGTTTTACAATATTTGTGTCGTGAAAACTATACTCATTAAGTAAATGCACGACACGTTTGTTTCCTTATTAACAGTAACTATTATACAATTCGCTCAACAATTGGGAAAACAGTGTGAATGTGTTATCACAGAATCAAGTGATCTACAAAGTAAGCTGGGTACTATTTATTTAGGACCATGCACTATTTTGAATTTATACTACCAATAAAGGGATTTACAGTAGTTTCACTTAAGCAACTTTTACCGTTTTCTTTAATGCTTAAAATTTTTAATATAAATCATTATGGTAACATTTATAAAATTACCATAATGATTTTACATCAATCCCAATTAGTAAATGTGTGTTTACATAATAATCAAACAATCGTGGTAAATTTACATAATGATCATAGTATGCTTTTAATGAAATGAAATGATAAAATAATTTTATACCAAGAATTTATTAATTTCAAGAATAATAAATAAAAAGTCATACCTTTGGTCATAAATTGCCGAAAATTAAACCAAAAAGGATTGTACTTCTGCTCCACTATTGACTGATCGCATAATATATACCCTAATAATACATACAAAGCAAACAATTCTTTAAAAATCATTGTTAAACACTTGAAAACTTTTTTTGGGCAAACGTTTTGGTTGAGTACCGAATTGCTTATGAATTCGGGTCTAAGATTTGCGCTAAACTTTATGTTGTAAACTCACTTAAACTACAAATGTTTTAATCTTATTGCACGCCATTTGTCTGTTTCCTATTTTTATATTAAAAATCTTAGTTTTTAATAAAATTTAAGTATTTTTTACAGTAAATAATATTTTATGTTTACAAACCCATTGGGATGTGAAGACAGTGACGAAGAATATCTCTATTTTTACCGATTCTGTGACATAAATCCAAACCTTTTATCTATTAAAATACATAATTGTTTTTGTTTGCAATGACTTTTTAATGTCAATATTTTCTGATGAATAACGAAATAATTTTTATAAAACAAACAATTATGTGATTAAAAATGCATTTTAAAATATTATAGATTTTTCTGTGGAATATTTTTGAAATCAATTCTGTAATTAAATATAAGATATTTTGATTCAATTAATGTAATAAATAAATCATAAAACTAGATATAAATATCTTTTTAATTTAATAGACTTTTATGTGATTTGAGTTTTTAGTAATGTTTGCTAAAAATAAAGTATTGTTTGTAAATTTGAAGACAGGTTTCATTATTTACGAGTCTGTTATTCATTTGGGAATAAATAAAGTTTAAAGAATAAGTTTTCAGTTTAAATTTGATTAATACATGAGTTTGTTTTGATTGCTTTAATTCTACTAATGATAAACATGTATCCATATAATAGATATATTCAATGATGACTTTACCTACAAAAAAATTAGTAAATTTAATTAGTATATTACAAATTAGTAAATAATTTAATTCATTATATACAATTAAAAGTTATAGAATATTCTAAATTATATATAATTCTAATAAAGTAAAAATTGAATAGATGAGTTTATATTACAATTATATTCTCATTTTATATTTTCTTCTTATAAATATTAAAAGTTAAAATAATTAAATTATTAAACAGCAATTATAATTTGTTACAGGAATAAGGTTAGACTTCACAAAATAGGTATATTTAAATATATCTTTAAACATTATTATGCACTTCTGTTTATGAGGAAAATATTAATTATAGTTTTATAGATTATACATACATGTAAAGTATATATTATTATCTATAGTTGTATTACATATTATATTATATTATTAGGAATACTTCGCAGAGTTTATATAATTAGTAAGAATTGTATTTAATTTAAGGGCAATATTTTTGTTGTAAAATTCTTGGGTATATAATATTCAATATACTGTAATAATAATATTCTTGTGAATTATTTTAATATTTCACACCATATTTAACTAAAAATATTATTTATGCCATTATTTAATAAAATTATAAATGTTACATAAAATACTTATAAATTTATTGCAGTAAATGTTTAGACAAAATAAGACAATGTTTAGAGTTTAAGTTATTCTATAAAAGCATTTAAAATAATATCACAATTAATAAAAGTTGTATGATATAAATTGTAAAATTAGTTGCATGGTTTGTATTTTTATATAATTTACAATGTTCAATTATTATATGAGTAATGCTTTTTATAATATTAGCAAAACAAATATTTGTGATCCTTTGAAAGGATTCCTTTCTATAATACAAAACATTTTTTTACAATTTATTGATTAAAAGTAATTTATAGAACTTTTTACAAATAACACAATTAACTGTTCATTCAATTAAGTGTTTTATTTACCAAATAAACCAGTTTTAAGTTATAGACTATAATTTTATTATGAAATGAATTTTAAAAACATTTCAGTGGAAATTTTTAACATGGCTATTTAAATTTAATTAATTAATTACGCGCACCTGGAATTTGTCTTAAGTTTGTTTTTAATTTTTATTTATAAAATATTCATTTTTTAGACAAATTATATAATAATCTTTAATAAAAACTTTTATTATAGAGAAGACAATATTTTTTGACAACAAATAAATTTAATTTAATTATTCTATATTTATTATAATTTCATAATAAATTACTCTATTTAAAAATGGTTACTATATTTAGTAATAAAGTCATAAATCTAGACAAATATTTAGCAACGATTGCAAGTATTAAATGTAAATAATATTAATAATAGACACAACTGTCCTGTCATTTAATTTTTGACGGGTTTTATATTAAAATCAAATGATATCATAGATATGTCTTACGAATTAGATATTAATTCACAGTAAATTAATTACAAACTACAGTCTAAGCATAATATGTTCTAAATATAATTTATAAAAATAACAAGTAAGATTTATAGATTTATAATGGATATATTTTTCCATTCAATTTTTATGACCAAAATCAATTTCGCAATTTTTAACAACTTTATTAAAATATATTTGACAAAATATTTTTATTGAGGGGTTTTTATTTCGCCATAAAAATAAGGTTTTCAATGCCTTTTAGACTCAATGTCTCTCTATTTTTGTAAATTAATTCCTGCTTTCAGTTAATTATAAAAAGTTTTTTTGCAAAATAATTTTACAATTTCTTCGTATATGTCTAATGAAGGAAATATTTTAATAATTAATTTTTGGTAATTTTCCGCAAATCTTATCGCAATTTGTTTTTATTTCAGTATAATTTAAATTTGAATTAATTTCCTATAATTAGCACAAATTTGTTACATTTTGGTAAAAATATCGCTAAGAAATGCAAAACATTTAAAATATTTTACTGACACCTAATTAACACAGATTTAATCAAAAAACTATTCCATTAATTTCATTAATCCATATATTATTTGATACATTAATTGGGATAAAATGTCATCAAAATAAAGCCCAGAATTATGTTTGGATTGCATATAAAAGTGTTGGACTGTTGTCTGTAGAGGTAAACAGTATTTTCAATGACGTGAAATAAAACACTTATTAAGTAATAACACAATTAATATAATATATTCAATCATATTTGAAGTGCGAATAAAAACTTTTTCGTCAAAACTATAAAACTTAGAAATAATACCAAAATTGTTGTCATTTGAAGTGTGTTTCCCGTTGAGTACCGGCAGACACACACATACTGTTCACTATTCATAGCAATCATGTCTTTTCAATCGTATTTCAATGTATTTAATGCATTACTTTTGCTATTATTTATTCACTATATTTCATGTCAGGCCGAGACCAACGAATCGCCTAAAACTCGGTATAATTTTTAAAATTGTTTATTTAAATTCAGTTTAATTCTTGTAAATAAGTATTAAAATTCTGTGTCTTTTATTATATGTATAGCAATGAAGTGATTGACGACAAACGAGAAAGTATTAAATACGTGGTCAATGTATTGAATCGTTTGGACAAAGGGCTCGAGAATTTAGAGTAAGTAAATGAATGCAAATGTAAAATAATATAATTTACTAACAAATTGACAAATAACATATATTTTACAAAAGTAGACGTGTTTTTGTAATGTTGTAAACCCTTATATCTTTCACAATTTTATTTCCTACTAAATGTTGCTTTTAATTCAATGAAAACATTTTCTAAATCAGAATAATTTTTGCAAACATTTATTTTTTTAATTCTGAGAAATATAGTACTGTATTATAGTATTATAGACGTTATACTACTTTATACTATTTTATTAAACACTTTTCTTCTGAATTTGATACAAAGCAAAACAATAATCTGTTTTTAACAATAATTACTGAAACATAAAAACAAAAATTACTCAAAAAGGGATTCAATGGATTTTAATAATGCACTAAAAAGAGATTATAATAATATTGAGAGTAAAGCAGACAGTAATAGATGTCTGAGTGGTATACCCGGCGGTGATTGTAGCAGCGATTTGGGGGATTGGGCTAACATTCCCAGCAGAAATCCCGGCAAACGGAGCGTAAGGTGTGATATAATTTGGTATTCATTTGTAAAATTCATGTTAAAAATTGGACAATAAGAGAGCAATAGTTAGATAATTAGATTAGGAAAAAATTTTCATCGCTTCTACGGCACAATAGACTTTTAGTTTAAAAAAAGTTCAATTATGGCACAGAATATTCTTGCAAAAATTGATTTCATATATGAATCCCAATTGAATATTAGCCACGAATTTGTGTTTATGATGAATATGTGATAATTTTTATTGAAAGGCAAACGCAAAGTGCAAACAATATACACGTATTTAAGCGAAAGAAATGTATTACTGGTATTCCGGGCGCTGACTGTGATGTAGACGTCGGACCCGTTGTGACCGAAATTCACAGAAATCCCGGCAAACGGAGTGTTAGGTGTGCTATGTTTGGCCTCGACTGCGATAGTGAGAGATTTGGATCATATGAGAGCAACTGATGGTCGGCCTGTCTTTCCTTTGGGCTCAATATATATAATGTATTCAAAAGCAAATAACAATAAAAATAAGATATTTTTATAATTTTTTAAATTATTGAAATTAAATACAATAATTGACACTTTTTGGCATATAATTGATATCTATTTTGAAATAATATGTATTAATATATTAATTATAATTTATAAATACTAACTTTACTAACTAATGTAAAATTACTAACTATTTAACAGTGATTTATGAATTAACAAACTTTATAATAATAATAATATTAACAAATAAATCTAAATTATTAAATATGCATTAAAAAACTTAACTAAACTAACTTTCTATAAGACATTTAAAACATAAACTTTAAATGAATTAAAAGTGTATAAATGGATGCATTTATTTGTAGCAAAAGAGTAGAGATAATGGCCGCCAAACGGGGAGTGGACTGTTCGCCGATCGGAGGTCTGCCGGGGGCTGACTGTGACTGGAATGAGATGGGAGAGGAGGCGAAGGCACAGAAGCTTATGAAGAGTAGTATTAGAAATCCCGGCAGAAAAAGACGATCTCTTCATTGAAATCTCTGCACCAAAAAAAATATAATAAAAAATATATTAAAATTTATCATTAATTTATATATGATTTGTAAATAACGCTAAATATTATGTCGCCTCCAAAGTATATGTATATATGATTTGTATAAATATAGTTAACATTTTATGGTTTAAAATAAATATTTTACCGCAATATACC